CTAATTACTTTAAAAAAATAAAAAAGACACTAAAAAGTTTACACTATTTAAAAAAATAAGTAAAGAACTAGTCTATAATAGACTAAACTTAAAGAAAACAATCTAATCTCTTACTATAGCAGAACAGAGATAGAAAAACCTTGTTAAAGAATACTACAAGGCTACTATGTTTAGGCATTCTAGAATTAGAACACTTTAGAAAAAGACTAAAGCTATAATTTCTTAAAACGTTTTAAAACTAAAACAGTTGTGCATAGAAATTCTCTAGGAATGTAACATCTATAATAAAAACAACTTTAGGCAATATAAGATATATAAACACCTATAGCTAATTAAAGCCTCTAAGCAACTCTAAATAATAATAATAATAAACTTTATTATAAGACTTCTACTACTCTGAAAACTTAGAACAGAACAGCTCTGCAACATAGTAGCAGTTGCCTTAGACAAAACAATAGTATTCCTACAAATGTAGCTAATAAAAAAAGTATAATAGTTAAGAAATTTTTATATAAACTAAAATAAAATATATTTTTAGTTTATAGTTACTTATAAATTATTATCTTTAATAAAGATAAACTATTTGTAAGCAAGTTCTAGAAAGTAGTAATAAAATACCTAGAAGTTACACATAAGTTATCTACTACCTATTATCTATAAACAGACAGGCAGACAGAGAGAATAAACACTAAAATAGAATAGCATTTAAGAAAGTTTATTTTATATAACTAAATAAACTAGGCTAAATAGCTTTTTATAGCTTAACTAGCTTTTAACATAGTAAAATTAGCTATAATTAAAGAAACGCCTTATAAAGCTAACTTAGGCTATTATTTCTACTACACACTGCATAGAACATAACTAACTAATCTACTAGAAACAGTAACCTGCCTATCCTACTACCTTAAACTACACTAAAAGTTAGCAGTTAGAGCTAAAGTTAGCTATAAAAAAAATAAAACATAAATAAAACTGTCGCGTATACTAAGAGCCTTGGCTGGGGCTCGGAGCCTGGGACTAGGGCTTAGAGCCTGTGACGCAGCTCGGGATCTGGAGATATTATGTTCCGAAGCTCGGTGTATATAAGGAGAGCCTTCAGCTCTCTTAGATAGCAGAGTCACTTCATCTGATATTCTAAACAGCTACTGCCAGGCTATTTTATCCTCTATAAAAACTTAATAAAAAAACCTAAAAGTTTAACTAGAAGATTATGTGTATCTTAAAACTAAAAACTTTTATACTTTTAGGCTATTTTAAAAGCTTACTAAAAAACATATTAGTCTTTATAAAGTACTATAAATATAAAAAAATAACTATAAACTTAAGCTACTAAGAGAAATGTGTATACACTTATAGTTCTATATTTTTAAACTTAAGAATGCACTAAAGGAAATACTCCTCTTTCTAGCTAGTTAAAAAGATATAAAAGTTAAGTATAAAGTTAAGCAGATAGTTAACACTTGAAAAAAATTAATTTTTAGTAAAATAAAAAAATAGCTTACTAGTAAAAATATATAAAAGCTTAACGTACCTAACAGGTTAGCCAGCCACATAGGTTAGCCAGCCACTTTTGCTAAGCCCCTACCACACTCTACCTATCTACATAATGCCTTAATAACAACACTAGATTAAATCTTCTAAAGAACATTAAATATAGCTTACTTTTTAAGCTTTTAAATAAGACTTAAAACTTTCTTTATAACATGCTATAGCTATTTATAATGTCTCTTATATAACACTAAGTAATTAACGCGCTAGATAGCCTTTATAAGTAAAATGCTAGCCTAAATTAAGAAATCTAACTAAGCTTAAAAAAAGGTAGTTATTAAGTATATACTTAAGCTTATTATACATAGATTTCTCTTTAAGCTTATAGCTATAGCTAATATAGCTAATTTATTACGCGTAAAGTGTAATCTAGGCTAGGTTAGCTTAAACTAGCCTAGTATGTAAGTTAAGCTCTGCCCTAAGTTTATAATAAAGTTTAATTATAAGTATAATTATAAAAAAGTGCTTTATAAGAATTTAGAGGTTATCTAGACCTAGTTTTACCTAGTAGCTAACATAAAAGCTAAGTATAGTATCTAAAATAAAGACATATATAACTTTAATAAGTTAAGCTTTATAATAAGCTAGATATTAACTAGAGTAGTTATTATAGCTTTAAAGAAACAAAGACAGCTAAAAGTAATATAGTAAAGTAATAAAAAGTAGATAATAGTTATTTAAAGTATTAACATAATAAAGTAAGCTATTTTACTCTTTATTATTTTTAAGAGCTGCTATTACTTTTTTACTTAGTATAAAAAAAAGAATTTGCCTTAGACATAGATTATTATAGTCTTTAAAAACAGCTAGATAATAAATACGCTTAGCCTGTAGTAGTTAAAGCACTTTAATAAATATATAAAAAAAAGGTTATAGGCGCTTATTAGCTTTTTATTATTAATAGCTATAAAAGCTATAACTTACTTAATTTCTAGCAGTACTATAAAAAAATAAAATTATTACTATTTATATACTTTTACACTTATTACACCTTTTATAGCCTTTTAATGTAGGTTATTTTGCCTTTTTAAAAAAGTGTATAGGCGCTAAGCTAAAAATCTTATGTGTAACTAAATTACTTATATTATAAAACTTAAGTTTCTACTATACTTTATACACACTTATAATGTAGTAATTACTTTTAGTAATATCTAAAAAGGGTTTTAAGGCGCTAGTTTAGTCTTATTTAACCTAGAATAAGTTAAAATAGCTCTTAATATTTAGTTACATACTTTATTACTACTACTACTTATTAATAATAAGCCCTAGTAGTTATAAACTCTAAGTAATACTTTTAAATTTTTAGTTATAATTAATGCTTATAAAAGTAAATATTTTAAGGCATGTAAATAGCTTACTAATGTTTATAGTAAAAGCTTTTAAAAAAGTCTTAAAAAGGGTAGTAATTATTACACATAAGCTAGTGTTAGTGTAAAAAAAGATTACAGAGCTTTAAGCAGTAAATAAAGCTGCTATATAATATAGATTACATAAAAGAAAGCAGATTTAAGCAGAAAAGACTTTAATAGTTAAAAATAAGGCTTATTTAACTGCTTTAAAGAAGTTTAGAGCGCGTAGTAATAAAAAGAAGCTAAAGACATAAGTGCGCGCTAAAAAAAGTAAGCTAAGTTAAAAGTAATATAGGTAGTGTAATTAAACTAGGCATAACTTGCATATATATAAGAAAGTAGTAAAAGTAGACTCTAAATAATATCTTATGTTATATTACTTTATATAGGGCCAAAGTAGGCTGTTTTGCGCTAGAATAGGGTGGTTTTAGTAGGGGCTTGGCAAAAGTGGCCGCCTAACCTGTGTGGCCGGCCAACCTGTTAGGTACGTTATTAAAAACTTAATAAACACTCTCTAGCTTTTTAGAATTATTAGGTGTCTCTTCTAACTAAAACTAGCCTAGAGAAAGTTTCTTAGACTAAAAAAACACTATTATTAGCTGCTAAAAAAACAGCTACAGCATTAGATAGCAGTAATATAAGAAGCTTATAGCTCTATAATATAAGCTAAGAAAAAGAAAAGCTTTAAGCTTTTACCTTAAGCGCCTTAAGCTTATTTAAAGATAAGAAGTCTTTTTCTAGATATTTTACTTTTTAACTTTTAAAAAAGTTAAGCTACTTTTAATACTAAACTTTTTTAGCGCAAATTACTTACTACCTTTTTAAGTTTTCCTCTACTTTTTTTAATTTATGCTCTTTCTCTTGTTTTTATTAGACTTAAACGCCTTTTATCTTATAAAAAAGCTTTTTTTACTCTCTCTTTAAATAATCCTAGGCTGTGTTAGAAATAAAAGTGTTACACTTATTACTTTTCTCTACACATTTCACGCACTTTTACGCACTTATCTAAAGATAGAGTTAAAACACAAGAGAAGCTACTTAAGTAATAAGAACTACATAGTTACATTTTTATATAGTAAAAAAGATTAAGATAAGCAGCAGTGCGTAAATAGCGCACATAAGTAGACTAATAAGAAGACTAATAAGGCATAGTTAAAAAAAAGACATCTATAAAGTGTTTATAAAAGAGCACTTACTAGATAAAAGAAAATTCTAACACTTACAATAGTATAAGGAAAAAAGTAAGAATGCTAATAAAGAGAAAAGCCTATATTTTATAACCTATAATTAGACTATAAGCTACTAACTAGTTATGCCCTACTATTTAAATAAATAAGGCTAGAATTCTCTTGTTACTCTACCTAGCAAGTTACATACTCTAACCGACAAGGAATAGACAGAATTATTAGACTAGTGGATAGCAGAATGCATTATCTAATAAGCAAAGGACGTTTGCATGCTATGCATGCCATGCGCGCTGCTAGAACAGCGACGCTCACAGCGCGCAGAGCGCGCAACTAGAATACCTTATGTATATAGTTTAGATCCTAACTATTATAAGAGGGTTATAATTAAAGTTTAGTTTATTTTTATATAGACTAAGTAGTATTGCTACTTTATAATAAAAGCAATACTAAGTATATACTCTGCACTATATATACCTTTTATTTTGTTTTTTATAAAAGAACTGTTTAACCTAAGCACTTTATACTACTGTTAAAGGGCAAACTATAGTTAGCTACACCTCCCTTACCTAGCAACTACGCCTTAGCGGACTGTACACCCGCCTGAGACTAAGTTCCCTCCCTACGCTAACACCTAACCTACCTACAGGCCCGGAGTACTTCGGACACCATTTCTCCGAAGTAAAGATTATAACACTACTGCGGAACTGCAGAGCCTGTGCGCGCGTCCCCGCAAAGGAAAATTAGAATCAATTGCGCAGTAAGAGGTGAAGCACCTACATTCACCCGGGCTAGGTCACGTGAACTAGTTTCACTTGCGATAGAGAGCAGTAGTAGTTTGCACTGAAGTAAAACACTTTCCTTTATATTGTTATACGCTCCTGCCTCTACATTCTAGACGGAGTTGCTATATCTTAGGTTAGTCCCAACAATTAAAGAAGGCACCGGCTTGCTCAACCGCACTTTCGGCCTCCCCGATAAAGCCGATAAAGCTTCCAGCAACTAGAACATCATGCGGTGAGTTCTTCGTCTCCATGTACAGGAGCTTATTTCCCTCAAGCTCCTTCATTCGATCTGCAAACTTGCTGATATCATCGTAGAATAACTCCGCAGTTCCAGCATTGACAAATATCGGTACATGTGTACCAAATGGGTGCTTGACGGGGCGGAGATATCGATCTGCCTCCTCTCCATTTGATGTAGGCTCGTAGGCAGCCTTCCCCCATTGCAGCAGGCCAAGGCTCAGGAAATCAGTGCGAAGACTTTTGCTTTTAGCGTAGGCGGAGAGTGCATGCTGGCTAACATCTACCCAGGGTGACCAAAGCATCACTCCTCGTGGTGTAGGTAAGATCGCGGTATCTTGGATGTACCGTAATAAGCCAATGACCAGGTTGCCGCCAGCGGAATCACCGGAGATGATGATATTCTGCGGGTCTACGCCCTGCTCCAGAACATAACGATAGAACGAAATAACGTCTTGAACCGCCGCAGGAAACCTCGAATCCTCATTCCGGGATAGTCGATATTGAGCGTAGAAGGTAGCTGCACTCAACTTATCTGTAAAGATGCGTGCTGGAACCCTGCCAGTGTCCACCGGATCTGTCGCAGTGACGAATGCGCCACCTTGGAAGTGGATAACGACCTTACAAGACTTGATCTCACTCTTGCCGGGTTTTTCGGGAAACCAGATACCTGGCATAGGAGCCGGCTGGATCATGTTTGATTGAACTATTCCGGTGTAGAGTTCAGATGGCCCTGGTTGAACGAGTACGTAACGATCCTTGAGCCTCGATGCATTTGCAAAGTATGGCTGAAGATGGATCCGAGCGGCATATATATAAAAGAGTCGAAGCCATTCATTTCCAACAGCAGTTTGCACCGTCCATTCAGGAACAGGACGATATTTCTTTGCAACATACACGAGCGAAAGTGCTGCGAGATAGAGGGGGGCGGATGCAATAAGAATAAGCGTAGCGATCGCCTTAAGTGGCTGATGCGAAAGCAGTGGAGCCATAGCAAGATATTTGTCAACAAATAGTTCGAATAGTAGGATAGAAATGCTTGCTTAGATTCAGGACGCTCTTCAAGCAACTTTATTCGAGTTCAAGAATAATAGGTGTTGACCTTGACTCATACAAATTCTGCAAGAAGACGGAGATAACCCTGCAACGAGGTTTCTGTAGCAGCACCCATCGTCTACTAATCAAATATGTAATTAACGGTTCTTTGAGCTCGTAGGCCCTTGTATGTGCATCATGGTACTAGACTGCTGGATATTGCGGCACGGCATCGTACAAATATTGATTAAGGAACCTCCCCCTGCCTCTTTCTCCTGGTTCGCTAAATGTCTTTTGGATCACACATAACGAGCGCACATATATTGCGGCACAGTCTTCGAAGGATGCATTCATACATTTTGTCAAACATCGGTAATTCTGCACAGCCCTCATCGGATAGCTCTAGTACCAGCCGGGCACCCATTGGGGTTTTCATGACCAAAGGCCCTGAGCTAGCCTACACTGAGTTGGTGACGAGCAGGGATCCGGTAACACAATAAGAGGGTCAATTCTATTCGCGAATTATGCAAATTATGTTGGGGAGAATCAAGGAGATAACCCTAAACTAGGGGATTGGAACCAAAGCTTATTTCCGAAGAGCGGTTCACCGTGCCACCAAACAGAGAACGTACCACGACTAATACCATGGCAATGTGGTCTACATGTACGTCTCAAACCACATCCACTGCCTGCTTCACTTTGATCGATTTCGAAGGCAGAGACTCCATCTGTAAGTCTTTGCTTGCAGCTGCTGATGCCGTCTTAGAGCTTTCAGAGAGGAAATTGAATGACTCGTCATCAAGCTGCTACCAAGTGAGCTCCGCACAATCCTCATACCTTGGCTTCTTTGAAAGCCAATGGGACTCGACAGAGGAAGCCGGCGCGTTTGAAGATTTGAAAGAGGCGTAGAGCCTCTTAAATCTGCGGCCGATGGGGCCCCCAAGTGCAAACACCGGACCATATGTTGGCAAACAGCAGCAAATGATTGCTAAGCCAAGCTGGACTGTAGACCAAATCATTACCATCGCAACATTCACTGTGCGAAGGTTAGAATTCTGGAGGTAATAGAGGTAAAAACCCTAACTTACTAGAGGTATCGACATGCGGCAGCACCCATATGTACCTCAGCCTGACCATACTCGCGACACAGACGCTTGGAATTGAATTATTATGGATCCCAGTTACAGGAATTGATTCACTCACAATCCCCCCAGCAAGAATATAGCAGTGATCGATATTTTCTTTGATAGCGGTAGGTGGAGTGATCGAATCATCCCAATGGGTAGGCAAAGAATCGTAACATCTAAGATAAGATTCGTGAATTCGTAGCCTAACAGGGTCCTTGCAGGTGAGTGGCAGTACGGCGGGAGCGCCATCATATCCCAAAACGCATGAATTGGGCTACATTGGAAGACTAAGACGAACGATACAGTAGTAAACCAGACTAGGCATGTTGTCCCGGCACCGATCAATACGAGTGTGAAGCGGACGCTGACGGAAAAGATGGAGTGATAGAAGACGAGGATGCTCATTTTGACCGCTGTAATCACAGCACCAAACAGGATTTCAGTGGCGAAGAGCATCTATGGATATGTCAACACTGTAGAGAACTTAGATAGTCAGACTCACCTTCATGTAGTTCCTTGCCTCGACTGGAGACGATAGTAGGATAAAGTTGAATTGACCGGTGGGTGATCCGTTAAGGATATCTAGTTTTTGTGAGCGTACGATATTTCAATCAAAATCGTCCTCCGTCAACTTACAGTTTAGAAGTACGGCAAAGTACCCAAGGAAAAGTCCGAGAGAGAGCACGCAAAGCCACTCCGCTGGAGTTGGCGATTGGTGCAGACTCTTCCGCACAGCGAATCGAAGAACAACAGCTATGAAAGCCAATATACTCATCGCAACGCAAACGGTGAGATTAGCTCCTCCAGTAGCACTCAAGGTCTTCATTGTGGTTCGCCACTCGGTGGATAGTTTCCAACAAAACACGAGGAATTTTAGCTAAGAGTTGCAATTTTTTCTGGGTGTTTGCTAAACCCTCTCCACCCATATATGATAGTTACCATTCTAATTTAAGGGGGATTGGTTTCTTTCCACAGGAATCGAACTTAATCTTCCTCTCCTGCAAGTTTGAGGCCGGGAAACATGCGTCGGGGAACAAAACGGGCGTATTCGGGCTAACCCACCGGATATTAGGGCACAGTGACTTATGCTAGGAAGCGGTTAATCTATGAGTGGACTTCAAGTACGCTATTTTCTTGCATGTTTCGTTATGGACGGTCACGGGTGTTCCGCTAACGATGGGTTCATATTTGCTGGGATCCTTATCTCAGGATGCATCGAACCTTTGTAGGGAATCCAGTTAGAGCCGGCCACCAGATTTTAGGAGGTTAATGCAGTAGATTATCTAGCATTCCCCTATTTCTAGAATATTCCCGATCACACAAGGTGAGCGGAAAACTTCAAAAACCTCACCCATGGATGATGTGTTATACTATTTCTTTGTGACGTGTCTCACGATAGGATTAGCAGATTAGCCGCCCGTATTACATGGCTGATTTCAAATTGTATGCGGCCTTGGAATCCTGAGGTTGTCTCCAAACAGCAACGACCCCGGTCCCGACCAACGGTCTAATGAATACTGCATGGGTCCAACGGCGTAGCAATATGAGAGAGCGGGTTATGGCTGCCGCGCCGTCAACGGGCTTCGTCGAGTCCGTCTATCGACGAGGCCGGGACGGCCGAGAAAGTCCGAAAGTTAAAATAACCCCGTACAACTCGGAGAACTAGTTTGTAAACCAGTATTGGCTCCGCACTACCCAGGGCAAATGTGGCACAGAAACACTCTCCTACCAGACTGATCACATCCGCAGAGTAAATTTCTACGCCTTCCGACCCTCGCAAAGCCATCTCACAACTTTTTTCCAGCGAGATCGGTTTCACGTTATCATCGAACGATTCTACTATGCCAATCGAGTAACCACGGAATTCGCTACTGCAGCATACCATTTTCAAGAAAGAACTGGGCGTAATGGAGGCTATTGCTATCGTAGGATTCTCATTCCGCTTTCCTCAAGATGCTGACGATGTGAATGGTTTCTGGGATATCATTCTCAATGGGAAATCGACCATGACAGAGGTCCCAAAGAATAGATGGGATATCAATGGATACTACTCTCACGATCAGTCAAAACTCGACTCTGTAAGCTTTGTTTTTATATATATATGTAGGTATTCCATAAAGTCGAAATAGCTCCCTTGCCGCGGAGGACATTTCATGAGGAATGATGTCGCCAAATTTGATGCTGCGTTTTTCTCTATGAATGAATCGGAGGCCAAGGCCATGGATCCACAGCTCCGTGGGCTGTTAGAGGTAACTTTCTGCGCTCTCGAGAATGGTATGTGAACATACGTTACGAAACCGTCACAAAATGTTAACTGAAAAACTCCAGCGGGTATCAAATTAGACGGTGTGCGTGGTTCCAAGACGTCCGTGTTTGTTGGGAATATTTCCTCAGACTATGAACGACTCTATGGGCATGACGAAGAGATCCAATCACCCTATAAAGCGACTGGAGTTTCCAACGCAATGCTTTCTAATCGCCTGAGTTGGTTCTATGACTTGAGGGGACCTAGCATGACCGTGGACACGGCATGCTCAAGCAGCTTAGTCGCTCTTCACCTCGCATGTCAAAACATACGTGTAGGGGAGTCTAACATGGTAAGTAGTATCCCTTCGACCGGACGTGACACCATCTGAGCGCCCGTATAGAGCTTAGTCTGTGGTTCAAATCTTTACTTTGACCCGAGAGCAAGTGCCATTCCCCTCTCTAATCAAGGATTCTTATCCCAGAATAGCACCAGCAAGAGCTTTGATGAAGCCGCAGACGGATACTCAAAGGGTGAGGGTCTCGCAGTAATCGTACTTAAACGTGTGTCCGAGGCACTTCGCGATGGTGATACAATTCGTGCAGTAATCCGAGGCACTGGTGCGAATCAAGATGGCCGAACCCCGTCAATAGCCCAGCATAACCCCGAGGCCCAAGCCGATCTCATACGAAGAGTATACAACGATTTCGACATAGATCCCGGGGTCACACGGTACTTCGAAGCTCATGGAACGGGAACAACAGTGGGAGACCCCATTGAGGCCGATGCAATTCAGCGTGTCTTCGGATGCTATCGCTCAAGGGCTGATCCCCTCTATATTGGTTCAACTAAGGCAAACATTGGACATTTGGGAGCGACCAGTGGTCTAGCTGGAATGATCAAAACCGTTCTCGTCCTTGAGAAGGGAATTATTCCTCCCATAGCGCTGCTAGAAAACCTCAACAAGAAGATAGACCCAAGCTGGAGCCTGGAGGTACGTACGGAACTGAAGTACCTTGAATGTTACTTACTGGCTGCTAGTTTCCTACAGCGCCTCTTCCATGGCCAGGAGTTGGCGTTCGGCGCGCCTCCGTCAATGCATTTGGTTACGGTGGGGCCAATGCTCACATCGTTATCGATGATGGCCGAAGTTTTCTGCTCGAACATGCACCCTTCAAACTGATTGATACGTTCGATGCCCCAGTATCGAAGCACCTGTTGGTGTGGTCCACCGCAGACGCCAGCGGTTTCGGCAGACTCGCCTGCCAACTATCCCGGAATGTTTCTGGAAAATGTACCGAGGACCAATCTGAGTACCTGCATGATCTTGCATATACACTATCCGAAAGGCGCACCCTATTTCCATGGAGATCTTTCGCTTTAGCAGAGAACTGTACCGACCTGCAAGAGAATATCATTCATAGTCTGCTAAAGCCGATGCGCTCGTCAACCGCACCGAATATCCATTTTATTTTCACAGGCCAAGGTGCGCAGTGGGCCGGTATGGGTATGGAGCTCCTCCGATATCCGATCTTTGAAAGCAGTATGCACGCTGCCGACGTTCATTTCCGTGCCCTTGGGTCTAGTTGGTCGTTGATAGGTAAGCACTCTGAAGTACTACCGGCAATTCTTTGGCTGAACTACTCTAGATGAGTTAAGGGCGTTGAACTCATCTCGAATAAATGACCCTGAAATAGCTCAGCCGGCATGCACTGCGTTGCAAGTTGCTTTAGTGGACCTTCTAGCCGATTGGAACATACATCCACACTCAGTTGTGGGACACTCTTCGGGAGAAGTCGCGGCAGCTTACAGTGCTGGCTCTATCTCAAAAGAATCGGCATGGACCATCGCATACTTCCGAGGCTCCATAGCCTGTCGCCCCCAGTCGACCACAAGTGGTTGCCAGGGTGCCATGATGACTGTCGCACTCTCAGTCACTGAATTACGTCCGTACTTGGAAGAATATACTAAACGCCCAAAAGATTGCCATGGTGTATCCGTTGGATGCATCAACAGTCCACGAAATACGACATTAACCGGCTCAGCGGTATCCATCGAAGCCCTCAAGAAACGGCTGGATGAAAATCAAGTCTTCACTCGGAAACTCAACATTCCCGTGGCCTATCATTCTATCCACATGCTGCAGTTTGTGCATCAGTACCGCGAATCACTCAAGGGTGCTATCTCGTACGATGATGCTCGACAACATCCCATCTCCACCCTTTTCTCGTCTGTCACAGGCCAACCCCTTTCCTCCGAAGAACTCCTTGACCCTGAATATTGGGTGAGAAATTTACTTTCTCCGGTAGTATTTGAGGACGCAATTCGCCGTTTGCGAAATGATGCGAATGATCGAACTGGACATGGGGCCAGCTCGAAAGCGATAAATTGCCTAATCGAAGTTGGACCCCATCCCGCTTTACAAAGATGTGTGTTGGATATATTTCATGAGACCCCGGATCTCGAGTACCACCGATCGCTCCGGCGTAACACTCCTGCCGTCTCCAGCCTGAAAGAGCTTGGTGGAAGCTTGTTCATGCGTGGCTATCCGGTCGACGTCAAGAAGATAAATCAAGAGAATTCGAGGCGTCATCCGCGGCTTCTGACTGACCTTCCCGCATATTCCTTCAATCATTCCCAATCCTATTGGCTAGAGAGTCGGCTTTCAAGAAACCGACGGTTCCGGAAATTACGCAGACACGAGCTAGTGGGCAGACCCTCTGATGATTGGAACTCCCACGAAGCAAAATGGCGTTTCACCATTCGCGTACGCGAGCATGAATGGGTCAAACACCACGTAGTAAGTTCTGTGTTTAAGGGAATCTGGAAGAAGCATGCTAATGTGAGAGAAGATGGACGAATCGCAGTTGTACCCAGCCGCTGGGATGCTCGTTATGCCAGTGGAAGCCGCTCGACAACTCAACCCTGCGCGCGGGCCCATTAGCGGATACCATCTCAGAGACGTGATGATATACAACACAATCGAGGTCCCTGACAACGAAGAAGGCGTCGAGGTCTAGCTACACATGAGTGTTCAGGTTAGCACAGCTCCAGGAGGCAAACAACAGCCAAGCTGGGCATACCGTATTTACGTCCTCGAACAAGAAGATTTCCGATTGATCTCATCGGGATGTATTTTGATTGAGCTGGCTGATCCCTCAGATATCGTCGCTTCTTCATCAGCTAAGGACAAAACGCGTCAGAAATACAAGACTCTTTACAAGCGTGCCCTTGCCGAGTGTACGAACCCGTTCTCGTCGAACGAATTTTACGAGACGCTTAAGGCTCTTGGAGCTCGATTTGGTCCTTCTTTCCGCAACCTTCAGCATATTTTCTTCGACAACGGAGGTAGCCAAGCTATTGCGAGCATGAAATTAGATCATTGGAGGACCACATTTCCCACCGTACAAATTGAAGAGCATGTAATTCATCCTACGGCACTTGATGTCCTCTTCCAGCTTCCATATGCCGCAATGTCCAAAGGAAGCGAACACGCAGTACCGCTGATGATTCCAACGAAGGTCGAGCATGTCTGGATCTCTCATGATCTTCTATCAATCCCGAATGAGGTGGGTCTTTCTCTTTATGCCCGAACAATTCGACGAGAGATCAGAGAGGTGGAGTTCATAACTGAACTCCTGAATACCAGGACGTGGGAACCTCTAATCTCCTTCAAATCATTCCGATTGGCGGCCGTCAATTCCCCAAGCTCCACACCTACCTCCACTAATGAGATCCGCCGCTTATGCTATCGGTTTGACTGGAAGCCTGACATAAGCCTTGTAGGAGGTGAACAAATCATGGAATACTGCCGTGCTGCGACCGAGAAACTTGACAACCCCGTTGATCCTGTGGATGACGAAGTCTGCCTTTATTTTCTGTCGCAAGCAATCGAACAATTGGAATCCGTAGGGTTCCAACCTGGGAGCCTTCACTTGCGGAAGTACGTAGAATGGGCCAAAGACTTCCTAAACAAACCGCAAGCACAAGATACGAGCGGCTTGAAGAGATTGAAAGGGCTGAGCGAAGTAGATATAGATGATTTCCTGCATACTTATGCGGCAGGTTCCCCTTCAAGAGGCGCCTACCTCCGATTCGGTCAGAATTTACCTCTCATTCTGCGTGGTCACATTGATGCTCTTCATCTGCTGTTTAATGAAGGCCTGGCCGCAGAGATCTACAACGGCCCGGTATTCTCCTACAGCATACGGAGGTTGACGGCATATCTGGATCTACTCGCTCACAAGGACTCTAGCCTCGACATCCTCGAGGTTGGCGCCGGAACTGGAAGCGGCACAAAGCACATCTTGCACACTTTGTCGCTACACGGAGAATGGGAAAGTAAAACACCCAGGTATAACACATACCACTTCTCTGACATTTCTCCTTCCTTCTTCGAGGATGCTCGTGTGCAATTTGAGACCCATGCCGACCGTATGCAGTTCAAGCTGCTAGACATTGAGCGCACTCCATTCGACCAAGGCTTTTCCCATGCACAATACGACGTAATAGTAGGCGTCTCCGTGCTTCATGCCACAAAGAGCATTGACGAAACTCTGCACAATCTGAAAAGCCTTTTGAAACCGTAAGTCTCGGTTAACATTTATGGCGTGAAAGCTACTAATCATGTCTAGTGGAGGCCATTTACTATTAACAGAGCCCACCAACATCCGAAGCGTAGTAATTCCGTTCGTTTCTGGGGTATTAGCTGGTTGGTGGCGATCTAGCGTGTCGCATAACGCACTAAGCCCTCTCTATACCAGGGATGAATGGAACGACGCGCTCATTCGTACTGGATTCACCGGTTTGGAAGTGTTCCTATCAGATGAATCAAATGATACGCATCACGTCTTCAGTTTCATTGCTTCCAAAGCATGCAATATTGAGAAACGCGCGAGTGATCTTCCCCCAGTCATTGTCGTAGCCGGTGAGACATCACTTCAGCAACGAATCTCGGCTCATGTTCAATCGAGCCTGCTAGAATATGGTTTCATGGATTGCCGCATCACTGACTTCAACTCTCTATCGGACTTGAACCTTTCTGGATTTGCTTGCATATCACTACTGGAGTTCGAGCGTTCTTTTCTGACAGGGATGAGCGAGCAAAGTTATACGACTCTCAGACGCTTATTCGGCACAGCTAACCACCTCATTTGGGTAACAGGCGGAGGCGGCGAGCAAGCAAGCCGGCCTGAGGCCGACGTCATTTCAGGCCTCGGAAAGACAACCTCAATCGAGAGACCGGAGCTGAAGTTTTGTCATCTGGATGTTCAAGAGGACTTGATTATACCCCCCAGTGTTGCGGAGCTCCTACTGGGTTCCATAACACAAGATGCACGAAACTGCGAGATAGATGTGGTCGAAAATCGTGGGCTCTTGTACATTCCTAGGGTTGTGGAGGCTGTGGATATCAACGCCATGTACTGGGCAGCGTTTGGTCGAAAGAACCCCGCTCTGACCTTCGTCGGTTCTCAATCAACTGACTACCTAGAATTGCAGGTAACACCCGGACAACTTGGTAGTATCCACTACATTGCCCATGACACATTCGATTCATCAATCGAATGTGGAGAAGTTATTGTGGAGGTAAAGGCAACCGGTATTAATTTCAAGGATGTCATGGTTGTCGCACGTGTCTCACGCGATATCATACCCATGTACTGCACTATTCACTCATTAGGCATAGCTCCTCTCTCGTACAGTATATAGTCAGCCCAGAGCTCTATCGAGCTCCTCAGACCTTACAATACACTCATTCCACCTTGTTTGGATCTCGCTCCCTTGTCGAGTCGTTTGCCATATGTCCCCTCCTCAGCTCATGCAAGAATGGTTGCCTTGGGCCAGATTTCCGATACACACATTGGTCAAGAATTTGCTGGTGTCGTCAGCCAGGCCAGCCCCGATACGCTCATTCAAATCGGCGCTCGGGTCTGCGGAATTGTAAGAGGGAGTTTCAAATCGCACGTTCGCATCCACGAGAGGAATCTCATCGAGATACCCAAAGCTGTCAATTTCGTTGAAGCGGCGTCGATTCCAGTAGCATTTACTACAGCACAGTACGGCTTGGTCCATCTTGCCAGGCTGCGGAGAGGAGAATCTATTCTCATACACGCTGCCGCGGGCGCTGTTGGTCAAGCCGCAATCCAGATTGCTCAGAAGCATGGCGCTGATATATACGTCACTGTCAGTTCCGACAGAAAGAAAAAACTTCTGATGGATAAGTATCACTTGGAGGACACGCACTTTTTTTCAAGCCGGAATTCTTCATTCCCGCAACATATTATGGATGCGACAAAAGGTCGTGGAATCGACGTAGTCTTAAACTCTTTAGCAGGTGGAGGCCTTACCGAGACATGGAGATGTATGGCACCCCTTGGTAGGTTTATTGAGATTGGGAAACGGGATATTGACGCTTTCGCACACCTTCCCATGGCTCCATTTTCCAAGAATGTTACCTTCTCATCACTGGATATTGCAACTGTCTATCAGCATGACGTTCGTCTCATGGGGCAACTGATGGAAGAGATAGAGTGCATGCTCTCGACAACACCACCGGAAATATCTACGCCCTACCCTTTGCGGGTGTTTAAGCGGTCTGAGTTCGAGGGTGCGTTTCGATCCTTGCAGACTGGAATGAATAGCGGGAAAGCAGTTGTGGATTGGGCGGTCGAAGACAACATCCGGGTCGGTACAAAGAAATCGATGATGCTTAACATAAAGCTGACTTACATTTCAGATTATCCCAAAGAGCGTTCACAAGTACAAGTTCGACTTGGATGCCACTTATATCATCAGTGGCGGCTTGGGAGGGATAGGTCGAAGTATTGCTCGATGGATGGCTGAGCGGGGAGCGAAGAACTTAATTTTGCTTTCCCGCACAGGAGCTGGCACATCTAAAGCATGTGCTCTGCTCAATGAACTGAAGGAACGAGGTGTAAGAGTGGAGGCTCCACCCTGTGACATCTCAGACCAAAGTGCTCTTAGCACTGTTCTAGCACACTGCGAAAGGATCATGCCACACATCAAAGGATGCATCCAAGCATCTATGGTAATCAATGTAAGCCAATATCATCACTCCGCGATGACTTGTACCGACACAAATCAGAATTCCAAGTTTGACCGCATGACGCTGCACGACTTCAACGCTGCCTTGCCATCGAAGATTTCCGGCACCTGGAATCTTCACCACTTGCTTCCTTCCGGAATGGATTTCTTTATTCTCTTAGCATCTCTTGCCGGGGTCCACGGTGCAAGCGCGCAAGCAAACTATGCTGCCGCATGTTCTTTCCAGGATGCATTTGCACGCTACCGGCATAGTCTTGGAGAAAGGTGTACGTCTCTAGACTTGGGAGTAGTCTCGTCCGTCGGATATATTGCGGAGAGAATCGACGTTGCAAAAAAGCTTACACTGTCTTACACTGGTCATGACCAAATGGATGAGCGGGACCTTGACTTCGTCGTCGAGCAAGCCATCACTAATCCGACACCAAAATCCTCGACTGGTTGGGATACTCAAGTCCTCGCCGCCATGACCACTCCAGCTATGGTCAAGAAGAGCGGACTTCTAGAAGAGCATGCCTGGATGCAAAAACCCTCATTCCGACACCTCTACCAGATCGACAAAGGCCACAACTCAATCTATGGCACACCTTGGGCCAAGACCAACTATGAGCAGCTGCTGCAATCATCTTGTGATTTAAAGGAGGCTGGAGATGTGATTGCATCAGCCTTGATCCAGAGACTGTCACGCTCGCTCTCTGTGCTGGAGGAAGACATTGATGCACATAAACCAGCGCATGCTTTTGGAGTCGACAGCCTAGTTGCAGTGGAGCTGAAATTCTGGTTCCAGAATGAGATCAAAGCTAACTTAACAATATTGCAAATACTAGGTGGGAGCTCCATTCAGGAGCTAGGAAATCTAGCGGCAGAGAAAAGCGAATACTGTTCGAAGGCGTGGGATAACGTTTAATAACCTAGGCTAGGTGCACTATAATTAGACAACGTTTTTAGCATCTATTGTGTGCGTTAATCCGTGCAATGTCTTGGTATTCGTGTCGCGTCTTTTCCGCCTCACTAAATCTATAAGAACTTTAACTAATCGACAATTTGCCTCTATCTATGCCTAAATATCTGTTATTTTAGTTAGATATTAAAGCTGTACATACTTCTAAAATAAGAAATAATAAAGCTGAATTTTAGAAGTCTAAAATAGCCTTTAGTAAACAATTTGTAGCGAAAAAGCTATAGCTATAGCAGCTACGCGTTTAAGTACTTGGGCTTCCTGTTAACTGTTAGCTAGAGCTTTTGCTACAGCAGCCTCTAATGCACCTTTTAGAGGTTAAAAAGCTAGTAAATTAAATAAGTAGATAAGAAAAAAAGTTACTTTTATAAATAAGCAGCGTGCTGCTGCTTTAACAACTACTATTAGTAGTAGAGCTAGAGTGTTAACTATTACTTTACTAGCAATTGTCTCTATCATCTAAAAAGCCTAACTACAAGATAGATATAAAGTATATTTTACTTGTAAATAAAAACTAGATAGTTAATACTATAGTAGTAAACAGTACTACTGCTATAGAGTTAAGTTGCCTCTTAGGGCAAGAATGTATATTATATATATATATATATATATATTGTTGTCTTAACTTCTGCCCTTAAGGCTTACCTCTAGAGGCAAGAACTCCTAGCTCTAAATCTATTGCCTCTAGCCTCTAGCTTAAAGGCTTGCCTCTTAAGGCAAGAGCTTCCTGCTGTAACGATCCTTATGAATCGTTCCGTCTCGGGTCGCCGGAACCTCCAGAAGGCCCGACCCCTGCTATTACCTCTATTACCTCTATTCCCTCATGTATTTAGTCGCACCTCCCCCCTGTAGCTAGCTCAGTAGTTTTCTGATATCCTCTGTACAAGGCCTATAGGTGTTAATGGCATTCCCAGGTTCTAAGTCCCCACGCACTCCCATATGCCTCTGAGTGGATTCCCACCGCATTCGGACCCATTGTCTTGCCTGCGCCGTTACACCTGCCCTGTATCTATGCCTCTAGCCTCTAGACTAAAGGCTTGCCCCTAGGGGTAAGAGCTTTCTCCTCTATATTCTTACGTGTAGCTTCTGTCTAAAAGGCTTGCCCTAATGCACAAGCTTCCTGCCCCCTACACTCTTACCTCTTAGAGTAAGAACTAAAGTAGCTTTACTAAAACTAATAACTATCTATGCTTTCTTTCTATTTTTAGACTTACGTGTAAGGCCGAGATGGTGCTTACGTGCGACGGGTATATATACTATTCTGTACGCAATAATTAACGTTGGTTAATTATTCGCACCTTTTTAGTTGTATTAGCGTAGTGGTACAGAGCCCCGTCCTTACATAATAATTAACCAACAGCAGGGTATGGTTAGTGTTCGACCCCCACCTCGGTCAGCTTTAAGCTAGTTTTTAGACTGAAACGTGAGGCAGCCTCTTCTAGCGCCACGTTGTTGCTGCTAGAAGGTCTAGTGCATATAGCTTAGCTGGCGTGGCCACTAAGCGTTGCGTCGTGTTTATCCCGCGCCTCTAGGCCGCAGGTGGTCAGCCTCTAGCCGGTAACCAAGTTAATAGTAGAAAGATAGTGTTGTGTTTGTCGCGTTTCTCAGTTACGCGTTGCGGGAACAGACTTTTGTCTTAGCACTGTACCTAAGCAACGCTCAACCCATATGCTATCGTAACTGTGGAATATCATCCCAATTAACCCTGCTGGAGTTTTCTGAAGAGACATTAACTTATTGCGCATCTGCAGTAAGTCTTCTACACTGCAGAAGGATAATTCACTATTTTGTGGACTATCTTAGTTTCCACGCACTACTACCACCCACACTAGCTCTCGCAGCATGCGGTTGCTTACCTCTTTGTGCTCTAAATCCTGTAGTTAGTGTCGCACGTGTCTCACGCAATATCATACCCATGTACTACACTATTCACTTATTAGGCATAGCTCCTATCTTGTACAGTATATAGTTAGCTTAGAGCTCTATTAAGCTTCTTAGACCTTATAATACACTTGTTTAATCTACCTTGTTTAGATCTTACTACCTTATTAACTTGCTTTCTATAGAACTCTTCCTTAGCTTATGTAAGACTAGTAAGTAGTAAGAATGTTATAACTTATTATTACTCTCTCTGCCTCTTTTGCCTGCTTTGCTAGCAACCTCTAGACCCTCTCTAGTTGTTAGCTTAACTATATCGCCTGCCCCTACAACCTTCTCTGCTCCTCTGCCTAGCTACATCTTAAGTAGAATCTTTGCAGTTATTTTATCTATCTTATCTAATTATTTTAAAATTGCAATTTTATATTTATTCTACTTAATATTTGCCTTTTTTTTACCTACTTAAATCTATTAAATCTGTTTAGCAACTTTAGCATCTTTGCTAGTTATTAGATGTACAGCTAGCAGTAGACAGTTTGTTTATAGATTTTATTACTAAGTAGTTTATTAAAGTTTATCCTTCTAAAAAATTAAAACCTAAATAGTTATTTAAAAGCTAATTTTTATAAGTGTTTTAGTAAGTACATTTATAAGAATCTAGGGCTTATATGCAATAAAATTAGTAAGCCTCTAAGAATAGTGTTGCTGTAGGTATTATTATTAATTATGTTTCTTTCTAGCATCTACTGCTGCTGCTGTTGTAGGAAATTTTCTTAGCCTACCTAAAAGCTTTTTAAGGGGATTAATAAATAGCATAATATAAATAATATTATAATAGTTAATAATTAAAAGGCTTTTACTGCTTATTAACACTTTTAAATTCTAAAACTGCTTAAATCTAGTTAGCATAGTAACAGCACACCTCTTATTACATTATCTTATGCGCTAACGCTAACACCCCTTGCCTAAATAGTAGGCTATAATAGCTTAGCACAGTAAGCAAATGCCTAATAACATAGTAAATTTAATAAGAAGAAAGAATAATCTTCTTACTATTAAATAAAGTTTAGAAGTACTTAACTAACTTACATATAGTTTAAAGGCAGGGCTATTAATATCCTAGCATAGCGCTACTAGGTCTTACTCTGTTAGAGGGAGGGTATAGAAAAAGGTTACTGTAACCTTTTTCTAAACTACCTCTTCTCTAATTATCCTAGCTGTGTACTATAGTTTACAGAGATATACTGTAGTTTACAGTAATATGCTTTTACTTATGCTGCTAGTTAATCCTAGCTAATAATCTTAGGCACTAGCCTATTACATAGGCATTCTATCTACGCCTATGTTCTAGGTATAGTATTCTATGCAATTACATCACCCTAATAAGCAGCCCTAGCGTAAAATATAGCATATTATTATTTTTATAACTATAGATAAAGACTGTTTAATTTTACAAAAAGCCTTAATGCAGCTAGCACGCCTTACTAAGTGCGTAATGCTATTCCTAACTACCTACTATATATATGCATACTATATTACAAAATCTAGCTTATAGGGCCTTTATAAAACATTTTTGTCTATTATCTATGTACTACTAACTGCTAGAGGTGGGTGCTGTTTAATTCTACTAAAAACCTAAATGTAGTAAGCGCTTAATGCTAGCTAAGTACTATAATGCTATTCCTAACTACCTATAAACTATATGTATGCATACTATATTACAGAATCTAGCTTACAGAGCCTTTATAAAACAGTTCTATCTATTATCTATGTACTACTAACTGCTAAAGGTGGATAGTGTTTAATTCTACTAAAAACCTAAATGCAGCTAGCGCCTAATACTAGCTAAGTACTACAATGCTATTCTTAACTACCTATAAACTATATGTATGCATACTATATTACAGAATCTAGCTTTTAGAGCCTTTGTAAAATGTTTCTGTCTATTATCTATGTACTACTAACAGCTAGAGGTGGATAGTGTTTAATTCCACTAAAAACCTAAATGCAGCTAGCGCCTAATGCTAGCTAAGTACTACAATGCTATTCCTAACTACCTATAAACTATACAGATGCATATAATATTACAGAATCTAGCTTACAGAGCATTTGTAAAATGTTTCTGTCTATTATCTACCTACTACTAACTGCTAGAGGTGGATAGTGTTTAATTCTACTAAAAACCTAAATGTAGCTAGCGCCTACTGCTAGCTAAGTACTATAATGCTATTTCTAACTACCTACAAACTATATAAATACATACAATATTACAGAATCTAGCTTGCAGAGCCTTTATAAAACGTCTCTGCCTATTTTCTACTTACTACTAACTGCTAGAGGTAGATGGCGTTTAATTCTACTAAAAACCTAAATGCAGCTAGCGCTTAATGCCAGCTTAGTACCATAATGCTATTCCTAACTACCTACAAACTGTATAGATGCATACAAAATTATAAAATCTAGCTTGCAGAGCCTTTAGAAAACATTTCTGTCTATTATCTATGTACTACTAACAGCTAGAGGTGGATAGTGTTTAATTCTACTAAAACCCTAAATGCAGCTAGCGCCCTTTGCTGCCTTACTAAATAATCCTCTTTCTAAAAACAGTTAAGACCTCTCTAATGCCTACCTTTTAACTACTCTCTCTTCTGCCACAACGCCTATATAGCTTAACCGCTGCCTGCCTGTAGCTTTTAAACCTGTTTTCGTCCCTTTGCGCGAAAAAAACCCTACTGTCCCAGGTCTAACCTTATGCCTGTTTCTGTGGTTTATAGTATAGTATATTATACTTTGTATGTTCTGCTTTTATTAGTTAAACTATTAATAGCTGCTATTTTTTACTGTAACTTTTTAACGCTTCTGCGCATTACTTTATAGCCTACTTAGTAATTACTAGCTTTATTATTTTATATAAGTTGTCTACTACACTTTTCTTTCTTAGCGCTAGGTTTTATGCTACTTTTAGAATATAAAAAATTAATTTATAAACAGCCTAAGTAATTATAAATGTAGGTTTTAAGCTTATTTTTTTAAAATCTTTAGTGTTAAACTGCACTAGGCATTTATACTATAGATGTAGGCTAGCTAACTTAATAATAAGAATGTTACGATTGTGCACAAGTAAGGTTATAGAGCTTCACAGAAGTCTAGTTTAATTACTATGTAAGGTATTATAGTAGGTACAAGACATTATGTAAGGAACAGAAAGGTTTAGAAAGAAATTAGTAATTAAATACTTATTTTAAAAGTCTAAGCGCTTTAAGTATAAATTAAGCCTATTTTAGGTTTAGTTAGTGTTAAGGCAGTTTATGCTTAAGTTTATGTCTATGTTATGTTATATTTATGTTAAACGTGCACTAATAATACTCTAGTACACGTCTAATATAGTTATGTCTAGGATCTAGGGAGGATACTGTGACAGTACCCCCCTCTTATTAGGAAGGGAATCCTTTACATTAGTAGTTCTAGCATTAGGTTGTCTTTGTTAGGGTACAGGTTTAGTTTAGATAGGTATTAGGCGTAGAATTAAGTTACTGCAGAGCTCTTTTATAAAGCTTCTATAAGTTTCTATAACAGTTTGTTATATCTAGTTTATTTTATAAAGTATTTATAAATATGTTTTTTTTTGTTAAACTAAATTTATTTAATGTCTTTTATAACATATTTTAGTTTATTATTTATAATAATAAGTTTAGGTAGCAGGTTTAGCTATCTAAGTAGATAGTTAGATTTAAAGGCTACTTAGCGTAGCAATAATACATAGAACACAGGGTGTATCTTTATGCTGTTAGGTAGGATTAATTAGTAAGTGTGTAATAAAACTATATAGGCTACTATAAAGGGGCTAAAGTTCTTCTAATTAAGTTTTTTTAATTATTAGTTTATTTAGATATTTCTAGCGTCTAGCTAGACCTTCTTACTAGCTGCATACATAGGGGCAGAGGTTTAGAATTAGTTTACATACTCTTATTAAAAAGCTTAAGCCTATGTAAGCTTTTTATAAATATATTTAGATATATTTTAGATTTTGTTAATAAGTCTATTTATATTTATTACTTATATAGATTAATAAGTTAGTTAGAGAGTATTTAAAAGTAGTTTAAATCTTATTTAGAAGTAGTATCTATAGTTTACTAAGAATAAAAATATTTATATTAATTTAAATATTATGTTATTAGCTTTAAACTATGCTATAGCTAACTATTTTACTTAGTTGTCTTACTAGTAGTTTATGTACACTTATAAGACTTATTTTATTATAGTGTTTACATTCTTAGTTTAGCTATTAGTCTTTAGGTAATAAGGTATAAATAAATAGAGAATAATTTAGAGCTATTTATAGAGTTTGTCCTAGAAGGCTAAGACAAACTATATACCTCTGTCTAATATAATTATGTTAGGCAGGCTATAGTAAACCTATACATATTAGTAGAATAACAAAGCTATATTAAGGGCAGTTATAAAAAATATAGTATTAAGTGTTAATACTTAGTTAAGTAATTAACAACTACTATAATATTTAGATACCCTTTAGATAAAGGTAAGTTTATAATAAAATTAATTAATATATCTTTTTAAGCTTATTTAAAGATTAGAAGTAGTTTAAGTAGGCTATTATACTTTTCTTAAAAGGCCTTTACTTTACAGTAAGTATAGCAACATAATATGTATTAGCGTACAGTATAAAACATGCGGGGCTAGTAGTACTCTCTCTGTAGTAGGTTAAGAGTCTTTCCTCTGCCTAAGTGTTCTCTAATAGGTAAGTTATGTACAATTTAGAGTAGTTTAATTCTTAGTTTATTAGAATTAGAAATTATAAGTTAGTTATAGTAATATAGCTTACTATTTTAGTTTTTATAGTTAGCTAGTATTACTTTTTTTAACTAACTAGTGCTATTTTAAAGCAGGTCTAAAGTTTCTTAGATAAATTTATTATTTAAATACTTATTAGTAATAATTTAATTAATTATCTAATTTATTTTATTTAAGTTAA